GCCCCCTCACAGGCGCGGTGTCTGAGTGTCCCGTTGGTGGTCTCTGGGCTCGCGCGGGGTTAGGGCGCCAGAACCAGCCAGGGGCCCCTTCGGCCACCGGGGCGCCAGACCCCACCTGGTGGTCTCCTCTCCTTCTCTGTCATTTAGGTGATAAAAGTTTATTTCATGTTGCAGCCCTCTTTGATGTGGGCTGTGAGATAGATTTTAGTGTCGTCATTCTTCAGCTATTACCTCGGGTTTGTTCGGAGCCAACGTGGGGAGCCGAGTGGGGAAGCGCGTGTTATACTCGGGCCGGAAGCTGTGGGGCGCTCATTTCTGTGCCCGGAGCTTGAATGAATTGAGAAAACGACCCATCCAAAGTCTTTTATATAAAAATAAAGCAAGTGGACGCAGAAGGTTCTATCTGAGAGGATACGGCGGGGCTAGAGAGCTTTCAGTTTGTCGTTCTTGGCCAATGAGCTAGACACTTAGAAAGTGTTAGTGAAGTAGGCGCCCTAATGAGTGGATCCCAGGAGCTCAGCTGCTGACAAGCCAGCCAACTACGGATCCAGGGAGAGAGATACCTGGAACCTACCTGTACGAGTCGAGGTCTTATTTTTATTTATTTTTTTCTTTTGGAGCCGTTTAAATGACTGAAAATAACCTTGTTTCTTCTTCCGATATGTTGTCGCAAATGACTTTCATTTCATTGAAATTGAAGTTCAGATTTTACTTGAATTGTTAAAAAAGCGAGAAAAGAACCGCCTTATGGAATCTATCATCGATACAGAGAGCTCAAAATATTTTGCACGTGAGAAGTATTAAAAATCTTCTGGAAACAGATTATTTCCAATTTTTAAAAGCTTCTGCTTCCTAGTAGGATAGAGGAAATACATAACAAGGCTATAGGATGATTAAATCTTGAACTGAGTTTGCCCAGTGCTTGCTGATGAGGTTGGAAGAAACAGGCAAAAAGTGAAGATTGAAGCCAGAGCACAAGGAGAATTCTAAGCTTTGTTTGATATGTTGTATAATTTAGTGGTTAACAACTAATTTTTGCCTCTTGTAACTTTTATTTCCAAGATTTTCTGTGCTACAGGAAAAAAAAAACCTGTCATATTTTACTTAAAGTATTGTCTTCAATGTTGTTCTTTGGCAATTGGTTTTGGTGATCACTTAAAAATGATTTATGCAAACATCTGTATCGGGTTCTCTGGCAACCTTGACATTTTACTCTTGTTTTTAAAGAGTTGAGTGACTCATTCAGTTACTGGGAATTCTTAGGCAAAACTAATTCAACTGTTTTAATATCCAACCCTAGTGCTCAGTGAGAGGCATACGTTCTCCTGAAGGTGTAAAGCATTTGGTGGAGAGTGACAGTGGCTGCAGAAGAGAAGGGCTTGCTGGTGTAGTGTTTGGTGTGAAAGAAAGAGGAGAGGGTTTGGAAGGTGGAGCTTTGATACATCAGGCTGTCGTTCACATTTTCACTGCTGGATTTATACTGTTGGAAGAAGGTATTCTTTGAGTTTAGTGTTAGTGAGTCACTGAATTGCCAAGTAGATAGAAGACGTCATAGACCCTCTTATGTGTTGGACATTAGCCAGTGTGTCTCATGATAACCTTGATTGTCACAACCATCAGGCAGTAGGGGTAGAAGCCGAGGCCCAAAGAATTACCTTGCCCAAGCTCATGTAGCAAAAGCTGAGATTTGAATAGGCAACTTGTAGTGGAGTCTAGGCTCTTGGCCACCATCCTGTTCTGACTTTGAAATTCTTTGCCCATGGTGTAGCCTCTTGATTGTGGAAAGATCTGATGTAGTGTAGAATACGAAGCATGTTGCTCTATGGCACTTTAGCTTTGACTCTTTTTTTCCTTAAGAAATTTTTGTCTTATGAAACCATAATGAAAATGATCCTTTTTCTGAAATATTTAGTGCTTGAGATTTATATCTTTCCAGAATATCGTCTAGCTTACCTCACAGCTGAGCATTATTATAAAGACCATTATGCAGCATAACAGCCAGCATGTGAGTTGATTCTTTATTTTTTAACTGTTTCAGTGAATCTTAATTTGATGACCACAACAGACATAGCAAACATAGGTTGATACATTTCTTTGGCAAGTTTGGGCACTGAGTTCCTGAGTTTTTGTAGAGCTAAGGTAGTCATTATTTGTCATTTTTTTGTGTCTAGTAGAATAATGTATCTATCTAGAAGGGTACCGAGTTCCCCCAAATTGTCCATTTTAGTTTCCCTCCATTGATAAGGAAACTTCAGTAAGGTGTCGGTTTTAGTTTGTAAACAGGATGTTTTTAAAGACCATTCTAGATTGAGAGCGATCTATTTGGACCTTTGCTCTTTCCCTTCCTCCTGTGACTGTGTCTTCTACCACTTGGCCAGATTCTGAGGCAAGAGTGGATCCACTCAGGGTGCCCTGCTTTTCTCTCTGGTGCAGCTGTCTTTCTCTAGGATTGTCTTTGTGGGTGGGTCAGCCCCTTTGTGCTTCCAGGAGGAATGCGTCTCAGGGCTGGAGGCAACAGGTGGCCTACAGTTTTAGCTTGTGTGTTTTCCAGGGTCAATAAATCTCAGCTAAAAAAATAAAATCCACTCAAGATAAGTGACCAGGATGTAATGCCTTGAAAATGCTTTATGGTAGCTTTTAAGAATTAGAGTGGATGGAATGGAGGAACATTGTAAAGGTCTCCCTGAAGGTCTTCATTCAAACTGGCAGACTTCACACGTTGCTTGCTATGACATAAATAATACATATTGTTAATGCCTTATGTTTTTATCTGGAGAATTGGAAAATTGTCAGGTTTTGTATAATAAGTAATCTTTAAATAGCTAGTATAGTGTATGACCATAGGGGTTAACACTAAGCCTTGACAGTCTCTGCAGAAGTTAAGATTCTGATAGAAAATATGAAAGGTTTAAAGTTCAGACTGTCTTTGAACTTTTTTATCAAGTCAGAAAGTGAAACTATTTATGTATTTGATTGAAAGCCACTTGAAGGCAGGGACATTTATGCCTTTAAAAAAAAACTTTCAATTCTGAAACTGTAATACACACACAGAAATGTGCTCAAGTGCTTTATAGCATTGTAGTTTTTTAAGAGTCCAACACAATTGATGTTAATAAAAGTTGGCTGGTGAGAAAAAATACAGTTTCCTACTCCTCAGTTGTTTTTTTTTTCTTATTCCCCTAAATCTGTAACTCTTAAGAATAATATATAAGAAAAGTATACTTTCTCTCCTCTTCCTCCAGTCCACTCTAAAGACTAAACACTCTTTGCCTGGGGTTATTCCTGGTTGTGTGGTGGACACAGTGGGATACAGTATTTTGTGGAATATAATGTTTGCGATCAGTGACTTTGGGAATGTGACAGAGCTTTGACTATGGTGGCAACAAGGAATTGGGAATTAAAGATCTTTGAATCTTTTTGAGGCTGTTCACCTCCGTTGCTCCTGAATCCTCAGTCCAGTGAGACTGCAGTGTGTTTCCGAGACCCAAGCTTCCTAAGACCCAATTAGCCACATTATCATGATACATCTGGTTTGTATATGTGCTGCTGCACCGAACACATGATGCATCTGATTTGAAATTTTTATTATTTTTCAGTTGAGTGGAATGTATTATTCGAAGTTCAAAACTGTTAGAGCCTGGATAAATACTTTTATCACAGGGATGCTGTTATGGTATTATCAGAAGGGGTTGGCTCTGTTACTCATTAATTGGTGTTAAGGAATATCTGGATTATGATTAGAGAACATTGATTAAAAATGACCACTTTTATTTGTTTTTATTTGCAGTCAGCAATTGCTTTTTTGTGATGGTTCTTTATAACTGTTAACCTTTTTTGTTTTTGAAAGATTGTGAATATTAAGATGTCCCTAGAAGCAGTGGAGTACTAGTTCAGTGACTTTTGTTAGTTATCTGCTTTATTTTTAGTTTTGTTTCATTCAGTGGTCTTAGTTTTCGCTTGCTGTTTTCCTTCATGGAAAAATTTTAAAGAAAATCATAGGATATTCAACAGCTTTGGTAGTCTGCATTTGCTGGTTTATAAAGGCAAGGCCTCATTGGATTTTTGGCTCCTTCTGTCTTAGTGGTCAAGTTCTTGATAGCAGTGGGCTTTGCAAGTGTTCATGTAAGAGAATGTTCATGTACAAGTGTTTAAGGAAGAGAATTCTAAAAGAGTCATTTTGGTTTTTATAATTATCAATATGCTGATAGAGGAAGTAGAACATTTGACCTGTAATGGGTTTCTGTTTCAATTTTAAAGCCCAGCTGCTAATTTTAAGGTTGAAACCATGTTTCGGTTCAAACAGGTTTTGAGAGTCACTTGTACTATATAAGAACTCATACTTCATGCTTTAGTGAATATTGCTAAATTTGCCTTGTGAGGGAGAAAAACATCACTGGATTTGAATGAAGTCTGTTTCTTGAGGTCTTGCAGGTTTTCTGAGAGAGTAAGAGAATGTTGCACATCTATACTTTAGTGTCACTCTATTTCTAAATCAAATCTACTGTTTTATAAAGAAGAGATTAATATTGAAGCAGTTTAGTTTAAAAACGGTGCCTACTCTGCATTTTGCTTGCTTTGGCCCAGTTTTTTTTTATAACCTCTTTGCTGTTGACATTTTGGGGGTGAGAGTTCTTTGGTTTTGGTAGCTGGTCTATGCATTGGGGTATGTCCAGCGGCACCCCTGCTTCTACACAATATTTGCCAGTCATATCTTGCTTTTTTTTCCCCA